CCCTCAACCCTCCTGATCAGTTTGTTCAGTCTGTTGTCAGCGACCCTCAGCCCACTGCCCCAGCATTATTAGACATTCTTCTGGATGCCTATGTAAAAATGCTTGTGTCGATCAGTATCCTCACTCTTTGCAATCTGTTTTCCATCACTCAGCTGCTCTAGAGCTCACTATTCATCTGCCGTAGACCTCTTAATCTAAGGAACATATTACAGCATTAGTAACATGCTGATAGCAGCATGGCTCATTGTCTGTTCATTTGTGCTAAACAGGTTTCAGCAGGAAATACTAAGGGTTTGTTGTGGTTAAAAAAAAAATGCACACAGACAGCTGTATCTAACTGCATGTTAGAAATAACTACAATTTTCTACTTTGACCATTTCATTTTTAGTTTATGTGGGTTATAAAATACCCTAAAACATTTTCACCATGCCAATTTTAGGCTTTTCCTTTGGCATTTAAAGTCAAGCATGCTTTGGTATAGAAAAAAAATAAGATAAAATACAACTTATCAGAAACGAAATGTCTGCAAGACAGCGGCATCTAATTGGAAAAATCTTACATAATGGAAAATTTAGTGTGGTTAAATAAAAAATAATATATTTTTCTAATTTAGACTGCATTGATAAAACACAGACATTTTTTACTGCTAAGTCTGATACTTATCAGAAGGGTTACATCCTTCCTGGAAACTTTGATAGATAAAACTAGCCTGTAGAGCTTAGAGGTCATAGATCAGTGAGGAAGTACTGATCANATTTTCTACTTTGACCATTTCATTTTTAGTTGATGTGGGTTATAAAATACCGCAAAACATTTTCACCATGCCAATTTTAGGCTTTTCCTTTGGCATTTAAAGTCAAGCATGCTTTGGTATAGAAAAAAAATAAGATAAAATACAACTTATCAGAAACGAAATGTCTGCAAGACAGCGGCATCTAATTGGAAAAATCTTACATAATGGAAAATTTAGTGTGGTTAAATAAAAAATAATATATTTTTCTAATTTAGACTGCATTGATAAAACACAGACATTTTTTACTGCTAAGTCTGATACTTATCAGAAGGGTTACATCCTTCCTGGAAACTTTGATAGATAAAATTAGACTGTAGAGGTTAGAGGTCATAGATCAGTGAGGAAGTACTGATCAACTATAGAAGTTGTAGATTAATTTAAGTTACAGTTGTTGATTAAAAAGCACAAAATATTAAGCTACTTGTAAAAATTGTCTTAAGATGCAGTGTATTACGTAAAACTGAAAAAAAGTGGTGCTATGTTCTAATTTTCAAAGCATGTGCTAATGAGGCAAATGGAGAACATTAATTTCAGAACCTTAAAAACTATAGTAGCACAAACAATGCTTTTTTTGTTTTTTTTGCTGTCTATGGGCCAGTAGATCATTAATCAGAGAAGCAGATACAGTCATATAAGCAGGACTACAGGAACCATAGAGGGTTTTCAAATTGTTGAGACCATTTAACAGGGTAACCCTATGGAAGCTAATGGAACAAGTAGCAGAAATGTGTAAATGATAATTCTTGTATAAAGCCCTTTCAAATCAGCGGAAACAATTTATATTACATTTACGCATATTTGAACACTGATAGTGTCAAGCTATATTGTAGCCACAGCCAACAGGATCGCCTGTATATAGCCCCCACTGGGTAGTGGTAGTGTATAGGTAGGAGGACAGAGACTGACAGAGCTGGAGTTTGAACTGGCAAACCTCCAATTGCAGGGCAAACTTCTGCATCCTGCACCAATGTTTGGCTTCCCATGAGCCTCCCTGAAGAGGAGAATCCCCTCTGCCAGTTTTTGCATTTATTGTCGTCTAATGCTTTGATGTATTACTTTTAGAGCTATTTTAATTATCCAACAATCATACCATGAACATTTTAGGCCATAATTTAACCCACACTGTTTATAATTGGTTTTGATCTAGAAAGTGTTTATGCATTTTGTGTAATTAATTTATTATAGTTTGCGAAAAGGACATAAGTTTGTTTTGAAGTTTGGTACGCACACTATCGGTCTTAAGTTTCATTGTTCTGATGTCACTGTTCCTACGCAATATGCATGTTCCTATTTTTTTGAATGCTTGATGTGAGCATAAGGGCGCATTTCATTTAATGAAAAAACAGCATTTCTTTCTACATTTATACAAATTTTATAAGCACTACACACACACTAGATGCTGTTTATCAATGTTTGGAGCTTCACTGGCTCTGATAAGTGTAAAATTGGGACTTTCTTCCTCTTTGAAAAGATTTGAATTTGCATCAACTTAACCAGCGACTAAGACAGAAGGTAAATATGTGCCTATTTAACCAAATATAGTCTAAATATTTCTGTCATATGTGGAATTATCCTATATTTTCTTATAAATATATAGAATTGTGCAGAAGTAAACAGA